GGGAACAAATTTGTGAAGGGAGCCCCAGCATCCTTCAAGACTGCTGTGATTGCTATTTTATGTAAGTCAGATTTGACAGTGGGAGCTGCTGTAATTGAATTAAGACATAACTACAGTGGGGTTGACTGAACCCCATGGTGGTAGGGGCCAACAAGTGACGGCACTCAATCGACAAAGGTAGGTGTGGTTACCATAATGGACAGCAGAGTCAAAGCAGTAATCAGAATAGTCTGAATCATATGGACTTATGGCTTTGGCTACTTAGTCATGGTGTCCTAGGAGTGAGATAGGAAAACCACTAAATATTTACTTGAGCTATACAAGGAGAAGCATTCTAGGTCAAGTGAACAGCATTTGTACCCATTCCAAAGAAAGGTGATCCAACAGAATGTGGAAATTATTAAACAATATCATTAATATCACACACAAGTATAATTTTGCTGAAGATCACTCAAAAGTCACTGCAGCAGTATATCGACAGGAAACTGCTAGACATTCAAGCCAGGTTCAGAAGAGGACGTGGAACAAGGGATATCATTGCTGATCTCAGATGAATCCTTGCTGAAAGCAGAGAATACCAGAAAGATGTTTACCTGTGTTTTATTGACTATGCAAAGGCAGTGACTGTGTGGATCATAACAAATTATCGATAATGTTGCGAAGAATGGGAATTCCAGAATACGTAGTTGTGTTCATGAGGAACCTGTACGTAGACTAAGAGGCAGTTGTTCAAACAGAACAAGGGGGTACTGCGTGGTTTAAAGTCAGGAAAGGTGTGTGTCAAGGTTGTATCCTTTCACTAATTCAACCTGATGAACAATCCGAGAAGCTGGACTATGTGAAGAACTTGGGATCAGGATTGGAGGAAGACTCATTGTGATGGTTAAGATTGTATGTCAACTTGGCTAAGCCATGGTTCTCAGTGTTTTGGCAGTTGTATAATGTGATCACTTCCCTGTTGAAATTTGATATGTGATAACCCCCATGATGGAATCTGCTGAGTGGTACCAGCAGGGTCGGGGCCTGTGGCAGCTCACTGCCCCCTCAGCTTCATCTCTCTGCCCTCCCCTGGCTACTTCCTTCCTGCTCGCCTTGCCAAAGTTTTTGGCTTGTTCCAGACCGAGCAGCTGCCTCGTCTCATCTCCAGTTCTTGGGACTTGAGCTAGCAGCTTACCTGTCAATCCTGGAATTCGTTGATCTTCACAGCCTGTGAGCAAGAGTCCTGTTCCCTGACCTGCTGATCTTGGGTTCGCCAGCCCCTGCAGCTACGTGAATCAGGAGAAACCTTGCGGTCTTGTCTGCTGATCTTGGAATTCATCATCCTTCACAGCCTATGAGAGGGAGCCCTGCTCTGACCTGCCAATCTTGGGTTCACCAGCTTCGGCTGCATGAATTGGGAGAGGCCTCTACCCTGATTCACGGACTTGGGACGTTCTAGCCTCTACAATTGTGTGAGCTGTTTCCTTGATATAAATCTCTCTCCATATATATATGCTTTACAGATTTTGCTTCTCTAGAGAACCACGCCTAAGACACTCATTAACAACCTGCCATATGCAGATGACAAAACCTTGATTGTTGAAAGTGAAGGGGACTTAAAGCACTTTCTAATGGAGATCAAAGACTACAGCCTTCAGTATGGATTACATGTCAACATAAAGAAAAATCCTCACAACTGGACCAATAAGCAACATCATGAAAAATGAAGAAAAGATTGAAGTTGCCAAAGATTTCATTTTACTTGGATCCACAATCAACCATGGAAGCAGCAGTCAAGAAGTCAAAGGGCGCATTGCATTGAGCAAACCTGCTGCAAAAGACCTCTTTAAAGTGTTCAAAACAAAGATGTCACTTTGAGGACTAAGGTGGGCCTGACCCAAGCCGTGGTATTTTTAATCACTTCATATGCATGTGAAAGCTGGACAATGAATAAGGAAGACCAAACAGAAACTGATGCCTTTGAATTATGGTGTTGGGGTAGAATGTTAAATATATCATGGGCTGCCAGAAGAACAAACAAATCTGTCTTGGAAGAAGTACAGCCAGAATGCTCCTTAGATGCAAGGATAGTTTTCACTAGCTTTTTTTAGAAGTAGATTGCCAGGTTCTTCATCCTAGTGTGCCTTAATCTGGAAGCTCCTCTGAAACCTATCCACCACGGGTAACCCTGTAGTTATTTGAAATACCAGTGGCATAACATCCAGCATCACAGCAACAGGCAAGCCACCACAGTTCAAAAATGTGACAAACAAGTGCTTATGTTTTTCAACAATATAAATGGCGACTATACACCTGGACCTCACCAGATGGAATACACAGGAATCAAATTGGGTACATCTGTGGAAAGAGACGATGGAGAAGCGCCATATCATCAGTCAGAACAAGGCCAGTGGCCAACCGGTGAACAAACCATCAATTGCTAATATGCAAGTTCAAGTTGAAGCTGAAGAAAATTAAAACATGTCCACTAGAGCCAAAGTACTACTTTGAGTATATCCTATCTGAATTTAGAGACCATTTCAAAAATAACCTTGATACATTGAACACTAATGACTGAGACCAGACGAATTGTGGGATGTCATCAGGAGCATTATACATGAAGAAAGCAAAAGATCATTAAAAACACAGGAAAGAAATAAAAGATGAAAATGGATATCAGAAGAGACTCTGAAACTTGCTCTTGAACATTTAGTAGCTAAAGCAAATGGAAGTAATGATGGTCAGAGCAGAACAGAAAATTTCAAAGGGTGGCTCAAGAAGACAAAGTAAAGTATTATAATGAAATGTGGAAAGACCTGAAGTTAGAAAACCTAAAAGGGAAGAACATGCTCAGCATAACGGCACCATCCTCATGATTGTGGATTGGGCCATGGTGATCCATAGGATTTTCATTGGCTGATTTTCAGAAGTAGATCATCAGACCTTTCTTCTTAGTCCATCTTAGTCTAGAAGCTCTGCTGAAACCTGTTCATCATCAAAGCAACACACAAGCTCCACGGACAGGTGGTGACTGTGCATGAGGTGCATTGGCTGGGAATTGAACCCAGGTCCCCACATGGAAGGTGAGGATTCTACCACTGAAACACCTCTGCCCCAAGGGCTCTATAAAAACAAACCCATTGCTGTCCAGTTGATTCCAACTTATAGCAACCCTATAGGACTGGGTAGAGCTGCCCGATAAGGTCTTCCAAGGATCAGCTGGTGGATTTGAACTGCTGACCTTTTGATTAGCAGCTGAGCTTTTAACCACTGCACCACAAGGGCTCCAAAAATGTAGTCAATTTGATTCTTGTGTATTCCATCTGGCAAGGTCCACATGTATAGTTGCTGTTTATGTTGCTGAAAAGAGGTTATTTCCAATGAATAGGCCATTGGTCTTGCAAAATTCTATCATTCGATTTCTGGCATCATTTGTATCACCAAGGCTATAGTTTCCAACTACTGATCCTCTGTTTCCAACTTTTGCATTCCAACCACCAATAATTATCAATGCGTCTTGATTGCATATTTGATCAATTTGACTGTAGAAGTTGGTAAAAGTCTTCTATTTTTCATCTTTGGCCTTAGTAATTGGTGTGTAAAGTGGAATAATAGTTATATTAACTCGTCTTCCTTGTAGGCATATGGATATTATCACTGACAGCCACTGTACTTCAGGATGGATCTTAACATGTTCTTTTTGATGATAAATGCGACGCCACTCCTCATCACTCCTGGCATAGTAGATCATATGATTGTCTGATTCAAAATGGCCAATACCAGTCCATTTCAGCTCACTAATGCCTGGGGTATCAATGTCTATGCATTCCACTTCATTTTTGATGACTTCCTATTTTCCTAGAGTCATACTTTGTACATTCCACGTTCCGATTATTAGTGGATGTTTGCAGCTGCTTCTCATTTTGAGTCGTGCCACATCAGCAGATGGTTTCAAAAGCTTGACTCTATCCACTTCAGTTAGGTCGACTCTAAGGAGACAGCTCTTCCCCAGTCATCTTTTGAGTGACTTCCAACCTGAGGGGCTCATCTTCTGGCTCTATATCAATGCTCTGCTATTAATAAGGTTTTCACTGGACAATTTGTTCAGAAGTAGACTGCCAGGTCCTTCTTCCAAGTCAGTCTGGAAGCTCCACTGAAGCCTGTCCACCAAGGTTGACCCTGCTGATATTTGTGAAGTTAGGTCTGATGCCACGCCGTTTTTACACAAGGACATTTTAAGCCGACGACAGGAAGAGCAGGTTGGGAACCAAGAATTAAGCCTTGGTGTTGCTAGGAGCCTTGACACTCAGAGAAGACCACTCTAATACAAAGCCGCGCTTGACCACTGTCCTGGTTATCAATGTTTTCCTTCTGCTGCAGAGTCCCTCTTGCCTGCTCTTTAAAAATGGAGCTGAGCTTTATATTTCTCTTCTGTCAATTATCTGTGTATGCAGTATATTGGAAGAAGGGGCTTCCCTTTCTGGCTCCAGTGAGATCTCTCACCAGGCTCCTGGAGAGGGCCCTTTTCCTATTTTGCTCCGTGTGGACTCTCCAGTGCTGGGCTCCTGCATGGTGTAGCATTTGGACATTACAAGCTTTCTCTGGCTCTCGGTTTGAGCAGTGGTGGCATAGCCTGGAAACCTATACACTTGGGCCTGTGGCCTAATCCAGATGTCACCTCCCACAGCCTCTCCTAAGCAAATATATACCTGCATATCAGGTGAGCTGCCCATCCAAAAGTTAATCTCCTGAAGCAAGTGGCAAACAGAAGTGTGTGCTAAATTTCTCTAAAAAGCAGCCTCTACACCTCCCAGCATCAACTGGAATTATACATCAATGGTGACATATAAAATGGCACAGCCCTTTTGCAAAACTGCTAGTTCCCTATAAAGGAAAACAAAACTACCATATGATGCACCCATCTCGTAGGGATATATGCAAGAAAAATAAAACCTATGTTTCATGAATGTTTATAGCTGTTTTATTCATAAACAGGAAACACAAATATCCTTCCACTGGTGAATATACAAAATGAGGTGTGTATACAACAGAATACAATAAAAAGGAACTATCAATACATTCAACGTGGATGACTCTCAAATTCATAATGCAAAGTGAAAGGAGCCAGACTCTAAAAGCTACATACTGAATGACTACTATAAGGACAGTTGCCAAGGATTCACGATGAAGGGAAGGTTTCACTAAAAAGGGGCAGTACTATGATTCATTTGGAGAGAAGAGGTATTCTGTACTTTTCTAGTGGTACTAATTATATGAATTCATCAAAACTTGTACTAGTGTGCATTCCAAGAGAATTTACTGTTTTTAAACTTTAAAAAATTGTATATGTAATGGGCAGTGACTATAAAAAAATTGTAAATTAGGGAGAAGCAAAATGACTAAAGCAATCAAGTCTCCTCTTCGGGAGAGAATCCCTGTTAACTTTCTAGGCTTCCCTACAACTGATCTGTCTGCACTTTTTATAAAATTGCCATCAAGGACACACCATTTTATACCCTGCCTTTCAAACAACAGTAAGCTATGATTGCCTCTCCTATGGTAGACTAAAACTTTTTTTGACAAATTCATTTACTTGCAGTTCAATATTGTGACATGTAGCCATTTATTGAAAACTCCCCATTGTACACTGCCACCATTTCCTGCCTTTCAGTATTTCAACTATCACTTTAGGGTGCCCATTCCATAAGATGGTTCTGAAAGGTGAATTACTCGGCAAATGGGAAACCTAATAGGAAATGCTTATGGATGTAGGACCATTTCCTAGACAACTTACATGATAAGTCATGGAGGAAACCGCCAGTTCAGCACGGGGTGGTGGCTCTGCATAAACCTCCACGTCCTACAGGAGGTATGCACCCAAATGGAGCACCTAACAATCATAACCTCACCTCCTGGCCTGGCACTCTCTCCTGAAACCATAGCATTACCAAAAAGACACTGTCTCAAAATGCAGCCCGAGCCTGTGCTGTGCAGAAGCTCTACTGCTGCTACATCAGGTTGTGGATATGCGTGGATCCCAAAAATGAGCAATCCTTTCTGCTTCTCACAGCACCATTTCTGAGGGACATTCTATCAGTAAACCAGGGATAATGGTTGGGAAGAATAAAGAGAAGCAATGCAAAAAATGTTCAGTACAACACTACACACACAGTAATGATCCACTGTTTAAGAAAACACAGCTTTGCATAAAAGGAGGCTAGAGAAAATACCCAAACAAGTGTGGGATACTGATTCATGGCCTAAAAACCAATTTTTGCTGAGAACATGCTGCATTAGAATGTGAAGTATAAAAACTTCAAAAACAGGTGATAAAAAAGAAAACCCACTTCTAAGATACTCATAAGCTGAAGAGACTTTGTAATAGAAATTTCGAATATAACAGAAGCAGAATGACATTTTGATACTTCCCTAAAGCAATGTACTATAACTGAAAGAGTACTTTGCTTACAGTCACAGAGTCTGTGTGTCAGGTCTCACAGGGCTCCTAAGTGAGAAGGGACACCAAAGGTTTCCATTTTTTACATTTATAGAATCAACCCACAATGTAATATCTTACGTTTTGTTAGAATTCCAAAAGATTCACAGGTGTTTCCATGTTCCTTACATTTTTCTCAAATACCACCTCACATTCAGTAATTATTGAAGGCTTTACCATATGTGTGAAAACCTCACATCTCAGGAAATACAGCGGGAAAAGTAAAAATTTTCCCATAGTACATTCTTTACACTAGTTTCTATCTCGTGTTTCTTTTCTGATTTTCAAAACAATGAGGGATGACCAAAAGGTTTCCAACATTATTTACACATGTATTCTTTCCAGTGAACCTTCTCACGTCTTCCAAGTGCTGAGAACTGGAGTTTCCCTTTTTCCTCACATATATAAGGGTTCTCCCCACTGTCAGTTCTTATATGTTTAGTGAGGCATTAAAAATAGCTAGACCTTCTCACATTCCTTGAATTCAAAACCTATCTCTCCAACATAACTTTTGTCTTCCCTGGGGCAAGAAGGAATAGCACTTTGTCACATTCCTTTATTCCTAAGGCTTCTCTCCACTGTGAATTCTTGTATGCTTAGTAAGGTTTGAGGACCAACTAAAGGCTTTCCCACATTCCTTACATTCATAAGGCCTTTCTCCACTATGAGTTCTTTTATGTGTAGTAAGTGATGAGGAATCACTAAAGGCTTTCCCACATTCCTTGCATTCATAAGGCCTCTCTCCACTGTGAGTTCTTATATGCTTAGTGAGGTTTGAGGACTGAATAAAGGCTTTACCACATTCCTTACATTCATAAGGCCTCTCTCCACTGTGAGTTCTTATATGAGTAGTGAGGCTTGATGACTGACTAAAAGCTTTCCCACACTGCTCACATTCATAAGGTTTTTCTCCACTATGAGTTCTTATATGTGTAGCAAGGGATGAGGAATCACTAAAGGCTTTCCCACATTCCTTACATTCATAACGCTTCTCTCCACTGTGCGTTCTTATATGTGTAGTAAGGCTTGAGGACCGACTAAAGGCTTTCCGACATTCCTTACATTCATAAGGCCTCTCTCCACTGTGAATTTTTGTATGTGTAGTTAGGCTTGAGGACTGACTAAAGGCTTTCCCACATTCCTTACATTCATAAGGCTTCACTCCACTGTGAGTTCTTATATGTGTAGTGAGGTGTGAGGAACAAATAAAGGCTTTCCGACATTCCTTACATTCATAAGGCTTCTCTCCACTGTGTGTTCTTATATGCGTAGTGAGGGATGAGGAATGACGAAAGGCTTTCCCACATTCCTTACATTCATAAGGCCTCTCTCCACTGTGAGTTCTTATATAACTAGTGAGTTCTGAGAAACTAAAGTCTTTTCCACATTCCTTACATTCATAAGGCCTCTCTCCACAGTGACTTCTTTTATGTTTAGAAAAAGATGAACAACTACAGGGTTCCTCACAATCCTTACATTTACAAAGTTTCTCTCCAGTGAGTGTTCTTACACGAGGTTTTAGGTAAGAGGGACAACTGCAGGCTTCTCCACATTCCTCATGATAGAGTCTGTATCCAGTGTGAAATCTGATGTGATGCTTAAATGATGAATGATCCATGAAGACTTTTCCGCACTCACTGCATTCAAAAGGATTTACTCCAACAGTAATTTTTTTAAGCCTAGTAAGATCGGCAATGCGACTGAAAGTTTTTCCACACTGATTAACTTTTTTGTATTTCTTTACTTTCTCTTCCTTATTTGCATGGAGGCTCTCTATCACATATTTTCTGTAAAAAATAAGCAGCATGTTGTTAGAATTAAAATTTTTACCATTTCAAAATTACCATACACTGTGAAAGTACATTTTCTACCGAGCTGTCTCAACTGGCATAAGCTGAATCATCTCACAGAGGGTGCTACCATCACCATCAGTCTTTCTAAATAACAGAGCTTTTTCATAATTGTGTACAAGTGAATCTCTCTTAAATATCAGTATGTGGCTCATATTTGTGAAAATACTGTAATGTGAAAATTAGGTGAATATGTAATTTTAGAACTAGTTTTATGCATACACACATAAACCCACACAAATGTCATGACACCTTAAGACCCTCTCCTGAGGCACTGTATACTATCATGTGTATGATACCTCGTTTGCCTTCCCTGGTTGTTGGGCTGATTTTCATTGCCACGGAATTCAAAGATTTCTCCTGACATGGATGACCAGGAGTCATTCTTCATCAATCGCACTACTGTATGTTCACTGGAAAACTTTTCTCCATTGTTATCCTGTTGAGAAACTGACCCAATAATTTTAAGTGGCGTTTCACAATATGAAAAAACAGTAAGGAAATTTTCATGAGGAGCAACCCAGCTGGGAGGAAAGACTGAGGAACGTTTAACTACTCCAGGATTTTGGCAATAGTCCAATGGGTAAGAAATTTGCTAATAATTCCATGATGATTGAGAGTGATGGTAACTTAAGTACAATGTAACTAAGAAAGCAACATTGAAAAGTACTGAAAATGATGCATGTGCATACAGGTAATATTAGAAGAAAAAATGGAGACTGTCTTTTTTTTACAAACACAGAAGACGAGAACTGATGAAAAATTTAAAATGTCAGCTCAGCTATGTGTGGAAGTTCACCCTCCTCAAACCAAGAGAGATTTTTTGAGTTGATTTCTTCAAATGTAATTACAACCTAGCAAGGCTGGTCCTTCAAAGGATTCTTGCCATTCTATGCTCCCTGACATAGTGGCTTTGGGTAAATCCAAATTCCACTCTCCACAGATCCTTCCCTTGCTTCCCAGGAAAAAAAGTCAGTGTGATTAATATGGTGCTCCCTACACGTTTGTCAGTTTGTTGTACTGTGGTGGCTTGTGTGTTACTATGATGCTGAAACTATGACACTGGTATTTCAAACACCAGCGGGGTCACCCATGGTGGAGAAGTTTCAAGAGAGCTTCCAGAGTAAGACAGACTAGGAAGAAGGACCTGGTAGTATATTTCTGGAAAAACTGGCTACTAAAAGCCTTATGAATAGCAACAGAACATTGTCTGATGTAGTGCCAGAAGATGAGGCCCTGAGGTTGGAAGGCACTCATACAACTGGGGAAGAGTTGCCTCCTCAAAGTAGTCGACCTTAATGATGTGGATGGAGTTAAGCTTTCAGGATATTCATTTGCTGAGGTAACACAACTCAAAATGAGAACAGCTGCAAACATCCATTAATAATTGGAACATGGATAGTACAAAGTATGGATCTAGGAAATTGCAAGTGGCCAAAAAAAAAATGGACCACATAAAGATCGATATCCTAGGTATTAGTGAGTTGAAATGGACTGGTATTGGCCACTTTGAATCAGACAATCATATGGTCTACTATGACAGGAATGATAAATTGAAGAAGGATGGCACTGCATTCAACCAAAAAGAACATTTCAAGACCTATCCTGAAATACAACACTGTCAGTGATAGGATAATATCCATATGCTAATAAGGAAGACCAGTTAATACAACTATTATTCAAATATACACACCAACCACCAATGCCAAAGATGAGGAAACTGAAGATTTTTACCAACTTCTGCAGTCTAAAATTGATTAAACACGCAATCAAGATGTATTGATAATTACTGCTAATTGGAATGCCAATGTTGGAAAGAAAGTAGTAGTTGGAAAACATGGCCTTGGTGACAGAAACGATGCTGGAGAACAAATGACAGAATTCTGCAAGACCAATGACTTCTTCATTGCAAATACCTTTTTTCACCAACATAAACAGCGACTATACACATGGACCTCGTCAGACGGAATACACAGGAATCAAATCGACTACATCTGTGGAAAGAAACAATGGAAAAGCTCAATATCATAAATCAGAAGAAGGCCAGGGGCCAACTGTGGAACAAACCATCAATTGCTCTTTATCAAGTTCAAGCTGAAATTGAAGAAAGTTAGAATAGTCCACAAGAGCCAAAATACGACCTTGAATTCACAGACCATTTCAAGAATAGATTTGAGGCATTCAACACTAATGACTGAAAAACAGACAAGCTGTGGAAGGACATCATACATGAAAAAAGCATGTGGTCATTAAAAAGACAAGAAAGAAATGACCAAAATGGATGTCAGAAGAGACTCTGAAAGTTCCTCTTGAACATAGAGCAGCTAAACTGAAAGGAAGAAATGATGAAGTAGAAGAGCTAAACATAAGATTTCAAAGGGCAGCTTGAGAAAACAAAGTACTATAAAGAAATGTGTAAAGACCTGGGTTAGAAAACCAAAAGAGAAAAAAACACTCAGCATTTCTCAAGCTGAAAGAACTAAAGAAAAAATTTAAGCCTCGAGTTGCAATACTGAAGGATTCTACAGGGAAAATACTGAATGATGCAGGAAGCATCAAAAGAGGATGAGAGGAATACACAGTCACTATACCAAAAAGAACTGGCTGATGTTAAACCATTTCGGGAGGTAGCATATGATCAAAGAACTGGTGGTACTGAAGGAAGACACCCAAACTGTGCTGAAGGCATAGGCGAAAAACAAGGCTTCAGGAATTGAGAGAATACCAATGGAAATGTTTCGACAAACAGATACAGTGCTAGGGGTGCTCACTTTCTATATCAAGAAATTTGGAAGACAGCTTCCTAGTCATCCAACCGGAAGAGATCCATATTTCTGACCATTTCAAACAAAGATGATCCAACAAAATGTGGAAATTACTGAACAATATCTTTGATATCACACACTAGAAAAATTCTACTGAAGATCATTCAAAAGTGATTGCAATAGTACAGTGACAGGGAACTGCCAGAAATTCAAGCCGGATCCAGAAGAGAACTTGGAACAAGTGATATCACTGCTGATGTTAGATGGATCATGGCTGAAAGCAGAGAATACCAGAAAGCTGTTTACCTGTGTCTTACTGACTATGCAAAAGCATTTGTGTGGATTATAACAAATTATACATAACATTGCAAAAAATGGGAATTCCAGAACACTTAGTTGTGCCCATGAGGAACATGTACATACACCAGGAGGCAGTTGTTCAAACAGAACAAGGGGATACTGAATGGTTTAAAGTCAAGAAAAGTGTGCGTCAAGGTTGCACCCTTTCACCATACTTACTCAATCTTTATGCTGAGCAAATGATACGAAAAGCTGGATTATATGAAGAAGAACGTGGCATCAGGATTGGAGGAAGACTCACTAACAACCTGCGATATGCAGATAACACAATCTCGCTTGCTGAAATTGAAGAAGACTTGAAGCACTTACTGATGAAGATCAAAAAGTACAGCCTTCAATATAGACTGTAACTCAACGTTAAAAAAAAATAATCCTCACAACTGGACCAATAAGCAACATCGTGATAAACGGAGAAAAGATTGAAAACTGTCAAGGATTTCATTTTACTTGGATTCACAATATCCACAGGAGTGGAGATCAGGAAATCAAGCAATGTGTTGCACTGGGCAAATCTGCTGCAAAAGACTCTTTTAAAGTGCTGAAAAGCAAAGATGTCACTTTAAGGGCTACGGTGCACCTGACCCAAACCATGACATTTTCAATTGCCTCATATGCACGGGAAAGCTGGACAATGAATAAGAAAACTGAGAAAAAACTGACGCCAAATATGGTGCTGGTGAAGAATACTGAATATACCACAGACTGCCAGAAGAACGAACAATTTTCTTGGAAGAAGTACAACCGGAATGCTCCTTAGAAGGATGGTGAAACTTCATCTCATGAACTTTGGCTATGTTATCAGGAGGGACCAGTCCCTGGAGAAAGACATTATGCTTGGTAAAGTAGAAGGTCAGCAAAAAGAGGAAGACTCTCAAGGAGATGGACTGACATAATCGCTGCAACGATGGGCTCAAGCATAACAACTGAGGATGGTGCAAGACCGGGCTGCGTTTCGTTCTGTTGTACACACAGTCGCTATGAGTCCGAACCGACTCAAAGGCTCCTAACAACAACAACATGGTGCTCTTGAGGAAAGGCATATCATGAGGGAAGACAGAGGAGCACATTTCCTTGACATTACCCTAATACTTTGGTCTCCAAGGTCTCTAGAGATGGAAAGGTGTGAGTTTATTTGCAGCAAAATAATAACATCAAATTTTTAATATACACAGTAAAACTTTAACAAGGTACCAAACCACAGATCTCTTTGCCTCACACTGACACCCACAGCCAATACTTCCACAACACTTAAATAGCTTCAAGGCTTTAAACCACAAGAGAAATAGCTTCATATACAGATTTTTACTTTCATGGGGAAGCCATTAGAGTCTAAGCTCCTTCAGGGTACTGAAAACGGGTGTTATGTTTACCAATGAGTATCAATTCCTCAACCCAAATTCTGTAAGAAGGTTGATGAGAACAATTTATTTATATACTAAAGAAGTAAGTAAAAATGAAGCCATCCTTACCTGAGTCCAGGTTCCTGAAGGTTTCCATCATCACATCTCTATAGAGATTCCTCTGAGAAAAATCCAGCAAAGCCCACTCTTCCTGGGTAAAGCACACGGCCACATCCTCAAAGACCAATGAGTCCTAAAACATCATACATATTCTGGATCAGCAAAATACCATCTTCCCCAATATGTATAAAAAGGATGGGTGAGTCTGACAGTCCTGGGGAACTGAGCATTCATAGGGAAAAGACACAAAGTTTCTGTTCCATCTAGAATCTGGCCATCAGACTTGTCCCTTTGCTGTCTGCATTTACCTCCTGAGTGCTGGAATCTTATTTCATAGATTTTACAATATTTCTAACATAGTGAGCTTATCGCTTCAGATTGACTATGACCAATTTCAGTCTTCTTCCTGTTTCCTTATGGTCCAGAACAGCCAGAACACATAGCAGAACGTGAAGAAACTGTCTGTAAATCAAAGACTTATTTCCAAATTCAGATCATTTTTTTGTGGAAAACAAAAAAGTCCACCTCCTTCCATGTTGTTGTTGTTAGGTGCCGTCAAGTTGGTTCTGACTCATATCGACCCTATGCACCACAGAATGAAACACTGCCTGGTCCTGCACCATGCTCACAATCATTAGGCTTGACCCCACTGTTGCAGCCACTGTGTCAATCCACCTCATTGAGGGTCTTTCTGTTTTTTGCTGACCCTGTACTTTACCAAGCATGATGTCCTTCTCCAGGGACTGATCTCTCCTGACAACATGTCCAAAGTATGTAAGTAGTAGTCTCACCACCCTTGCTTCAAAGGAGCATTCTGGTTGTACTTCCTCTAAGACAGACTCGTTCCTTCTTTGGTACTCCATGGTATATCCAACATTCTTCTCCAACACCGTAATTCAAAAGCATCAGTTCTTCTTTGGTCTTCCTTATTCATTGTCCAGCTTTAGCATGCATATGATGCAATTGAAAATATCACGGCTTGGGGCAGGGGCACCTTAGTCTTCAAGGCGACATCTTTGCTTTTCAACACTTTAAAGAAGTCTTTTGCAGCAAATTTGCCCTCCTTCTTCCGTAAGACCCATCAAAACACTCAACAAAACATGAAGCACAAGTGAAAGCAGAATAAGACATTAATAACTAGGAAATACTGAGGGACTGACACCTTTTTCCTTTACTTGACTAGACAAAGCAAGCATAAGAATGATTCAAATACAGCAGAGTTTTTAGAATTAGACTAGAAACTTAAAACATTTTCTTTTTTTGGAACTAGACTAGAAATTTAAAACATATTTTCTTTTTGACAATGAATGCAATGCCATTCCTCTTCAATCTGTCATTCCCAGCATAGCAGACTGTATGATTGTCTGATTCAAAATGGCCAATACCAGTCCATTTCAGCTCAGTAATGCCTAGGAGAATATCGGTGTTTATGTGTTCCATTTCATTTTTGACGATTTCCAATTTTCCTAGATTCATACTTCATACATTCCACGTCCCTATTATTAGTGGATGTTTGCAGCTGTTTCTTCTCATTTTGAGTCATGCCATTAGCAAATGAAGGTCCCAAAAACTTGACTCTATCCACATCATTAAGGTCAACTCTACTTTGAGGAAGCAGCTCTTTCCCAGTCATCTTCTGAGTGCCTTCCAACCTGAGGGGCTCATCTTCTGGCACTAAATCAATGTTCCACTGCTATTCATAAGGTTTTTACTGGCTAATTTTATTTTCAAAAGTAGACCACTAGGTCCTTCTTCCCAGTCTTAGTCTGGAAGATCATCTGAAACCTCTCCATCATGGGTGACCCTGCTGGTATACGAATACCAGTGGCATAGCTTCTAGCATCACAGTAACATGCAAGCTCCCATAGTAAGACAAACTGACAGAGGCATTCATCATCAAAAAGATATCTGAAAATCTATCCTAAAGTATAAAGCTGTCAGTGATAGAATATCCATACACCTACAAGGAAGACCAGTTAATAGGAGTATTATTCAAATATCAACGACTAAGGCCAAAAATGAAAAAATTGAAGATTTTTACCAACTTCTACAGTCTGAAATTGATTGAACATGCAATCAGGATGCATTGATAATTACTGGTGATTGGAACGTGGAAGTTGGAAACCAAGAAGAAAGATTGATAAAATTGGAAAGTATGGCCTTGGTGATAGAAATGATACTGGAGAACTCATGATAGAATTTTGCAAGACCAACGACTTCTTCATTGCAAACAACTTTTTTCAACAACATAAATGGTGACTTTACACGTGGACCTCGCCAGATGGAACACACAGGAATCAAATCCACTACATCTGTGGAAAGAGACGATGGTAAAGCTCAATATCAACCGTCAGAACAAGGCCAGGGGCCAACTGTGGGACAGACTATCAATTGCTGATATGCAAGTTCAAGTTGAAGTTGAAGAAAATTAGAACAAGTCCATGAGAACCAAAGTATAAGCTTAAGTATATCCCAGCTGAATTTACAGACCATCTCAAGAATAAATTTGATGCACTAAACACTAAGGACTGAAGACCAGACAAGTTGTGGAATGACATCAAGGACATCACACCTGTTCTTTTGATGTTTCCTGCATCATTCAATATTTTGTCCACAGAATCCTTCAATATTATAACTCGAGGCTTAAATTTTTTGTTCAGTTCTTTCAGCTTGAGAAATACTGAGCATGTTTTTCCATAAAAATATGTGTTATAAATCTTAGCCCCTACACCTGTGTTAGGAGCCCTGGTGACACAATGGTTATGTGCTTGGCTGCTAACCTAAAGCTTGGCGGTTCAAATCCACCAGCCGTTCCACAGAATATAGATGTAGCAGTCTGCTTCCATGAAGATTTTAGCCTTGCAAACCCTATGAGGCTGTTCTCTCTACTCTGCTATGAGTCAGAATCAACTCGATGGCAACGGGTTTGGGTTTGTTTTGGTGTATTAAGTCAGTCTCTCTTGAGACATAAAAAAGCAGATTAGGCATAGTGGAGGAAGCAGAGATGGGGGAAGACAGATGCCACACCACAGGAAGATCGCCAAGGAACAAGGACCTTCCTCCAGAGCCAACAGAGAGAGAAAGCCTTCCCCTAGAGCCAGTCCCTGAATTCAGACTTTTAGGAGGGTGTCAAGAGTGAGGGTATAACCATTACATGGATGTTCATTTTATATTTCACTCAACTGTACGTTTAATATATATTTTTCTGCGTGTGTGTAAAAAACTCTAATCAAATTTAGAAATAGAAACATGCAGAATCTGAAAATGGGCATACACAAAAAATGTACATGTAAGAGCATACAGAGTGAAAAGTTCAACACTTTCCCAGAAAAGCAGAGGAAAAACAAGGCTATCAAATATTCTATTCCTATTCAACCTTATCCTAGAAATTTTAACCAATACGTTCCCGTCAAAACAAACACAGGAAAACGTTAAGCATTAAAAAAAAAAAAAAACACAACTCATTCTGTTTTATAAATTAATTATGTACAACCACAACAGAGTATACAAATTATTGTAAGATTGAGATTTTGGTACATTTTTCAGGTTGCAAAATATCAAAGTAAGGTTTCTTTTATACACTTATATACACTAATACCAAGTAGTTTAAAAACTTTAAAAGGATAACGTATTTTAGTGAAAACATAAAAGACCAAGGAGTGTAATAAAAGATCCTAATAAAAAATTATAAATTCTTAAAGAACATTGAAACTGACTGAAATAAATAAGACAGAGCATGCTTTTAGAACACTGTTCTACCCAAACAGATCTTATTTCCAGGAAGAAATTCCAAAAAATTCCAACCATTTATGTATTTTTTAGAACTTATAAGAAATACTTCAAAATTCATACAGAAGTGCAAATGTCCACGAACAGCCACAATGTTCTCTAAGAAATACTGCCTGGGGACGTGTCCAACATATATAAAACTGTATGTGTACGTGTATTTAATAAACAGCACAGTATCAGTAGAATACAGAAACTACATCAATGGAAAAAAGTAAACAGACCAGGAGCAGATCCATCTACCTATATAGAAAGTTGACTCCTGACACAGCATGCACTGCAGGGCACTGCCAGAAATTACACACATTTTAATATGTGGTGACAAATCAACCGATTACCTAATTGGAGTAATTAACATACGTCTTAGTTATCTGGTACTGCTATAACAGAAATCCTGCAAATGGGTGGCTTTAACAAAAAAATTTATTCTCTCACAGTTTTAGGAGATAGAAGTCCGAGTTCAGGGTGCCAGCTCTAGGCGAAGGCTTTCTCTCTCCATGAGCTCTGGAGGGTCCTTGTCTCTTCAGCTGCTTCCTTGTTCCTTGGAGAGCTCCACGTGTCTTGGCATCTATCTTATCCCATTTCTGCTTCTACTTTGTGTTTAATCTCTTTTATATCTCAACAGAGATTAACTCAAGATACATCCTACACTAATCCTGCCTCATTAACATAACAAAGACAATCCATTCACAGATGGGATTATAACCTCAGGCATAGAGGTCAGGACTTACAACACATATTTTTGGGGGACACAATTCAATCCATAACAACGTATTATTACCAACCTCATATGTAAAAATAAGTTTCCAACAGCTTAGCTTTAAATGTAAAATTATAAACACTTCCATAAGGCATAAACAAGTGACTTTATGACATCAGAATAGAGAAAAACTCATAAATAAGAAGCATAAGACATAAGAAAAGAGACTAATAAATTCAACTACATTAAAATTCAAAACCATTCAAAGGGCGGCAAACAGTGAGCACAGAATCTACATACTAGAAAAAAATTTTCAATATGTAAATAAAAAAATTTTTTCAAATGCTATCAAGAAGTCCTAAAAAGTCAGAGATGGATTAACAGTGGGAACATATGCACAGCCTGCCAATACTGAAGTAGTTTCAGATAACTGCAGAATAAAATTAAAGATACCCTTTCACACTGATTACAAAACAAAAATTAATTCAATGATCCATATGTTGCCAAGAAAATGAAACAAATCAGATACACATACATACTTAGTGGGAAAATTTGTAAAGTGCCTCAGCATTTCCTAGTAAATTTAAACTTAGCTATGATCTACAACTCAGTGGTTTCCCCTCACTAGCATTTTGTGCAAAAGCACTTAAGAGCCTGGAAAGAGAAGGAACAGAGCAAAACTATTCACAAGAGCAAAAACTTAACCTGAAACAACCTAAAACCCGGGAGCTATACAATGGATAGGTAAACTGTGGCCCATTCATAAAATGTAACACATATATACATCGAAATATGGGTAGACTAGAGCTACACACACACCAACATGCATGAAACTCAAAAAATCACAAGGAAAACAAGTCACTAAAGGACTCCAGAGTAACTGCATTTACAAAAAGCTCAAAAGAGGCAAAACTCAATACAGCAAAACCTGCGAAAGCTGGAACCTGTATAAGGCAGAAACCTATCAGAGGAGGAAAGCTCACATATTTTGTACTAAAATGATTACTTCAGCCTGTCAAAGGTGGAAAACTTGCAAGACCCAGAACAACAAGGCAGTCGTGTCGAGTTCCGGCTCTGCCAGGTTGCACTATGTGTAGCATACGAGTTAAGTCAGGTGGTAGAGCTGTAATAATAGCAATAACAACAATAAATTCCTAATATATAGATAGTTGTTATCTCTAGGTTAATGAGATCAGGGCAGGACACACTGGGTGGCTGTAAGAACTCCCCAGCTTCTATTTATAATTCGGTGTTTAGTGTTATTAAAACCTTACATGAAAAGTTTCACGTATTCTGTGTTTATAATATACTTTACAATAAAAAACTTAAAGCATTATTTAAAACTTAGAAATGTAATTTCCATGTATCAATTTTATCAGGATTTATCATCTCACAACCCCTTTTTAACTTATCTTAGGTAAGAAGGGCTTTTATACCTAACTTTTGATACCTGAATAAGCTTTGGAAATGCAAAACGTTGGCAACTATCCAAGTGTCCATTCACTGCGGTGAGGTTAAAAAAAAGACAAAACTAAGATCCACCAAATGCAGAATGTTATGGATCAAACTGTGTCCCCCAAAATGTAGGACAATTTATCTAGGCCACGATTCCCCGTATTGTGTGGTTGTTCTCCAATTTATGATCTGAGGTAATTTTCCTATGCGTTATAAATCCTAGTCTATACCTGTGGTTAATGAGGCAAAATTAGGTTATGCTAAAGAGAACTAGGGTGGGATGCAACAACCTCAGGCTGGCCACAGCCCTGATCCGATGCAAGAGGAGTTACCCTGGTGGGTGGCCTGCATCACCTTTTATCTTACAAGAGATAAAAGGAGAGAGAAGTGAGCAGAGAGGGAGCTCATGCCACCAAGAAAGAAGTGCCAGGAGCGGTCCAAGTCCTTTGGACCTAGGATTCCTGCGCTGAGAAGCTCCTAGACCAGGGGAAGACTGATGACAAGGACCGTCCCCAAAAAGTGACAGAGAGAGAAAGCATTCTGTGGGAGCTGGCACCTTAAATTCAGATTTCTAGCCTCCTAGACTGTGAGAGAATAAATTTGTTTTAAGCCATCCACTGGTGGCATTTCTGTTATAGCAGCACTAGCTAAGACACAGTACTATGAAGTTTTATACAACTTTAGACATAAACTGTCTATGTATTGTTATGGACAGATCTCCAGGACCATTTCTTACTTGAAAAAAAGCATAAATTCCACGCTATTTTTTGTGTAACAAAGTAGGGGAAATACAAACTTCTAACTCTACTTGCTTGAATTTCTGAAAAAAAATACTGGCAAGATGTTAAGAAAAGTTTACAATAAAGCTGATTATCTAAAGGTGCAAGAATGGTCTGGATGAGGAGAATAGTAAGAACAAGTCTTCATAAAGTATCCTACTTAAGGTCATGTTGAGATTTGAACTTTAAAGGTACACCTACTCCTCACTTATCGATTATCTCTTTATCCAACATTTCACATTTATGACGATAGTTAAAAATCTATTATATGACTATTTTGCACATTAATGATGTATGTCTGACAGTGGCGAACGCTGAGGTGCAAGGCAAGAGTAACACTGGCTCTAATGGTTGTGTCAACTTGGCTGAACCGTGATTCTCAGTGGTTTGGCAATTATGTAATGATGTAATTTGGCAGTCGTGTAATGATGTACTCATCCTCCGTTTTCACATAATGCTGATTTTTGTGTAACAACCTGGCCTTTGGAACCTAACCATGTTGCTAAGTGAGGAGTGGGTTTATTATCTATTGGAATAACACAGTAATTCTACTTTTAAACATAATATTAATCAACTCTGATATTTAATGTGTTTCCTAGGAATTCCCATTTTTAAGGATAAAACCACTGGAGATTTAATCACTTAAACCAAAATCAAACCAAACCCGTTGCTGTCAAGTCAATTCCAACTCATAATGACCCTACAGGACAGAGTAGAACTGCCCCATAGGGTTTCCAAGGAGCAGCTGGTGGATTCGAACTGCTGACCTTTTGGTTAGCAGCCGCGCTCTTAACCACTGCAACACCAGGGCTCTTTAATCACTTAGGGCCTAATTATTATGAAATGGCCTAATATATTTGTGCAAATCATATAAGCGAAGTCAGAGCTCTCTGTTTAAATGCAGAAGCCAGGGATATCAGTCTGTATGTATATTTTATCTCAGGAAAATGTTTCCAAAATCGCTAGAAGACTTAGCACATTAGGGGTTCTGGAATAATATGTTAAATGTAGTGAGAGTCTTCAAGATTCTTCTCAATATTTAAGTACACTTCAGAGTAACTTTTACATCAGTTAAAATAGGCATTCCTCTGTATTTAAGAAGTTTCATACCCATTAAATTAAAAACTTCTCACCAGAAACGTAACAAACTAATCCGAAATTTGCTTAGTGGAAACCGTGACCCTGAGAAATTAAATACACCCATTTCATATGTTGAGTTTCTCAAGCAAAAAAGAACACTTTAATTTCAGATTCTAATCCAAGACTGTTGGGAGCAATCAAAAATTTTTACATTTAATGCCAGCTCTAGGCACAGACAGGATGGGAACACAAGGACCTGGATTGAGTATCATGGTTCTTGCACACCTGAAAGCTTTAAGCAAAACTATTCTCCACTGGAAAAAAAAATGGTTTTGGAGACCCCACACGATTCAGCTGGACTCACTCTCCTCATTCCTTTGATGAAGTCATGAGAGTGCTGGCCCCACACAGGACTCCACAAAGAGGATTTTCTCTCTAATAACTTCTCTCCTGTTCTTTATCCCATGACACTGTGTGAGAGGTGGAGTTATGGTTTTAGAACTGCACAAAAAGGATGCAGTGCCTGCGGGAAGCCAAGAAAACTATTGTTAGTGATGGGACAAGGATGGCTCTAGAGGGCCTGGGGCTCACTCTCCTCAGCAAGAGCTGCACCAATTTTAAGTTATGCTCAGGAGGTTCTGTCTCTAACATAGAGCTCCAAGGCCAGGGCGGGGATGTTAACACCCCATGGTGCCACCTCTGAGAGTCACATAAGGAAGGTGACCCCAGGCATCCAAGGCCTGAAAACCCACATATGTACAGAGGAAAGGCCCAGTGAGAGTGGAGCAGGGCCTTATGATGCTTCTTAGAACTCAGTCCCTTGGCCTCTTCTGCCACCTTTTACCTCATAGAACACAGAGCACAGAGCTGGTCCCCCACCAAATCATACGTAACCACATCCCCTTACACTAAGAATTACCCAGTTCTCTGTGGTACTCACTATTTCCTGGCTCCAGTTTCTCAAAGTCTAAGTGAATATCCTCTCTAAACTCAAGAAGCCACTTAAATAAGAAGGATGGCAGTGGAAGCAGGGCCACTAGATAGTCTGAAGGCATATAAATGTTTGTTCCACACAGCCAGTCAGAGCACTTGAAATCCTTACTTGTGATTGCATGGATATGCAAGATAGTCACCCGAAGTTCCCAGCTGCCTAGAATGGAGTAGTTCTCTCTCTGGCACACCTGAGACAAAAAATGGAGAGGAGACAGTGTTGAGAAAGGAGGACAGGTTCTTGGTCTTCAGCTCTTTCCCTGGGCAGGGCTTCCTATTAAGCAGCGTGGCTCTTTGGTAGCAGAAATTGTGGCTGAATCACCAACCATCCAATCCCACACAGAACCTGCCTCAGCCAATCCTTAAGATCTTGGAGAAACACTGGCTGCATGATCTCTACAAACGCGTTCATCATCTATCTAGATTTTTCAGCCATATCTTTTTTTTTACACCAGACAAATTAGAGTCGGTTATATTGTTTCTCACACAATTGTAATGAAAATGTCTGCCTCATAGCCAAAGAAATTCCATGAATGTGCCTCTTACTCTTTTCCTCCCGAAATTGGGATAAATATGGTCTTAAATCCACGTAGTAGTTCCAACTCATGATGCTTAAAATTCTTTATATGTGTTAAAGACCTACAGTTAAAGGAGGGGGTATATATTCCTCACCATAAACTTACTTTTTATCTGACCAACAATACTTAACAAAAGTCCTGCCTTGATGAAGCACGGAAAACAAAGGGGAGCACGATCAGCGGCCGACCAGAGGAGGTGGGGGCAGGGCATTTCGACGCGGGCTAACTGCCCTGACTTCGATATGGCATTTCTCATAAACTCCCAGGCCAACCTGCTGCTGGTGTGGAAACCACACCTTTGCTTAGCGACGATTTGTATTATTTTACCTGTTAATGCACCGACACTGGTACACCCCGACTATGTGGCCGGGCTCGCGCAGAAACCAGCCACAGATCAGTCCGGCACGAGCGGGAAGGGGGTTCGGGCCCGGGTTCTCGGAGGCGGCGGCGGCAGTGAGAGGCCCCGGACGCAGCCCGGCTGGAGAAGTCGCGCGCGCTCTAAAGCAGCCCAGGGAGGAGGGAGAGGCCAGGACTGCGCAGCAAAAAGGAAGCTGCGCCTCTAGACCCCAGTCGGACCCGCCTGTTCCGCGGGCTCCCCTGGTACTAGAGCAGGCAAGATACCTACACATACGAAACGTACTTCACACCAAAGGAGTGCGACAAAACATGGATGCCGGCCGTGGACGTGCGCTTTCCCTTCCGGTTTCTGGGACTCTCACAGCGGAAGGGGAGGGGTTCCGTGCGCGGACCCCGAGGGCTCCCCGCAGTGACGTGTATTTCCCTGGATTCCCCTGGGCTTTGGGAATTGTCCACTGACTTGCTGTCTTTGGTTCCTTTATAGACAAAATCCTAACGTGTTGCCATGCAGTCGATTCTGACTCATAGCGACCGTGTAGGACAGCAGAACTGCCCCATAGGGTTTCCAAGGCTGTAATCTTTATGGAAGCAGACTGCCACATCTTTCTCCCGCGGAGTGGCTGGTGATTTCCAACCTCTGACCTGTTAGCCGAGCGCTTAACTGCTGCTCCACCTGGGCTTCTCTTGAGAAAAGCCTAAGTGTTCTTAAATGAGTATATAAAGTTAAACCTGGATTTCAGTAGTCAAAGATTTCTACTATGCTGGGTGAGCAGAGAAAATTAGTATTTGCTTATTTGGGCATTTGAAAAAAAAACTGCCATATTCTTTAGAAAGATAATTGGTTTGCAAAGAAATATTTGCCCAATCTTTAGAATCCTTGATGTTCATAGTTCATCTTCTCTTGTATATCTCGTACCTTTCCCCAGGAAACTTGCACCGACTATGCAAACCCATTCTGATCTCTCCAAGACTTTAGGCACATAGAGTTTTCCAGGGCGAGAGACAGGCAGATACCAGTCAGTACCTGTGAAGAACAGATGAAGTTCTTCTGAAAATGACGATTATAAGCAGCGTTTACTTTTTTATTAGATATAACATACGTGTAATAAAGTGCGTAACATGAACTAATAGTAAGTGTACAAGGAGATGAAGTTTTACATATGTATACCCATTGCCATTGAGTCAATTCCAACTCATAGCAACCCTAGAGAGCAGAGTAGAACTGTCCCACAGAGCTTCCAAGGAGTGTCTGGTGGATTCAAAACTGCCGACATTTTGGTTAGCAGCCAAACTCTAAACCACTGAGCCACCAAGGTTCCTACATACGTATATAAACTCATAAGACCACATCTGTGATTCCCAACTGATGTTTGCCCTTCCTCAATTGATATTGTCCTTCTGTTATCCCCAGAGATAGGGTTTGCCTGTTTTTCATCTTCATGTAATTGGAATCACAGTATATGAACTCTGTGGTCTGACTTCATCTACTCTATGAGATTTTATCAACGTTGTTGCATATAGCAGTGATTTGTTCCTTGTTTGACGACATGTAGTATTACACTATATGAATATACCATATTTAAAAACGAATTGCCAGTCTTTAACATTTTCCCTATGGATCATGATCTAGGATATTTTATATACGTATGCGTGTGTGTGTGTGGTGGTGGTGTTAGGTGCAGTCGAGTCGGTTCCGACTCATAGCGAACCTATGTATAACAAATCGAAACACTGCAGGTCCTGCATCATCCTCACAGTCATTGGTACGTTTGAGCACGTTGTTGCAGTCACTGTGTCAATCCATCTCATTGAGGGTCTTCCTCTTTCTGCTGACCCTCTGCTTTACCCAGCATGATGTCCTTGTCCAGGGACTTGTCCCTCTTGATAACATGTCCAAAGTATGTGAGAAGAAGTCTCACCATTCTTGCTTCTAAGGAGCATTCTGGCTGTACTTCTTCCAAGACAGATTTCTTCGTTCTTCTAGCAGTCCATGGTATATTCAATATTCTTCATCAACACCATAGTTCAAAGACGTCAATTCTTCTTTGGTCTTCCTTAGTTATTGTCCAGCTTTCACATGCATATGAAGCAATTGAAAATACCATGGCTTGGGTCAGGCACACCTTAGTCTTCAAGGTGACATCTTTGCTTTTCAACACTTTAAAGAGGTCTTTGCAGCACATTTGCCCAATGCAATGTATCTTTTTTTTATATATATATTTTATTGTACTTCAGGTGAAGGCTTACAGAACAAATAGTTTCTCATGAAACAGTAGTACACATGTTGTTTTATGACATTGGTTAACAACC